TTGGGTCATGTCTCTGAAGTTAGGTCATGTCTCTGAGTTACATTTTATACATGGGTCAACACAGGTAAGTTAATTGACCAGGTGAGAACTACCTCCCATCACACCTGAGAATAATTAGAACCAGTTTGTGGCCTCGACAGATCTCGGGCGAGTTATCAGAGAACACAGTCGTACAGAGACGGAGGAGACCTGAAGAACACACACACACACAACACACTAACGTATGCGTCACCAGCCTGGTCGTCTTCTCTCAACTCCACCCAACAACGTCAGCTAGAAAGGTACAGAAAAGGACAGAATCATGCTCGGCGCAGAATACTCCGGCTACACCAACGCTCTCTCACCCTGGAAATGCCATCCCTCAGTGACCTCCACCACCAAGCACTGGACTACTGCTACCCTCGTCATCGCCACCTCCTGCCACCTGCAGTCCCCGCCCACCTCGCGCAGTGCCACTACAACAAAATTCAGCCCATAAGAGCCCACTCCGATAGATATAAGAACAGCACCATCCCATCTATTATTTAAAATAATAAACAACTCCAGATTTATGTACTGTACAGCCCTGTAAATGTATTCAATGCCACCGGCTAGCTCTATTAATAAACCCATTTATTATTATTATTATTATTATTATTATACACTAAAACACACACACACACACACACACATACACACACACACACACACACACACACTAACACACACACACACACACACACACACACACACACACACCCTCCCCACACACACACACACCCTACCCACACACACACACACCCTACCCACACACACATAACACACCCACTCATCACACACACACTAAAACACACCCCACATACACACACCCTACCCCACACACACTAACACACATCACACACACACCCTACCCACACACTTAGGTAGTGTGTGTCTCTCAGGGCAGCAGCTAAAATATTTAACAACAAAATGGTTGAAGGTTGAGCCAAGGAAGCGAGGAACACAAGTTAGCGATGGCAACACGGGAAAGCTTTTAGACCCTGCCATAAACCAGAGCGGTAGAGACGAACTTGTTGTCGAAGGTAAAAAAAGACTCGTTTGGCCGCCAGTTGTTGCACTCTGATTGACACACGCGCGTGCAGTGGGTGTGTGGGTGTGTGAGGAGGGAGTGTGGGGTGTGGAAATGATGAAGGAATGCAATGGGTGTGTGAGAATGAGAAGAAGACAGTGGGAGTCAATCACACCTCTCCACAGATAGATTTTCTCCTCTACCTCCCTCTACCTCCTGGTGATTCCAAATAGAAGTAATTAACCTAACCTAACCTTAACCTAACCTAACCTAACCTTAACAAACGTAGAAAGCAATAATAATCTCTAAATCAAATAGTAATTTTTCTTTCATTAAACACGACGCTGAAAAAGAGAGTCGAGAAAAGAAAATGAGTTCGTTGTCTGTGTATCGATGATGTGCTTACCACCGCTACAATTAACTCCTCCATAAACTACTGTTATAATTATCTACAGCAAATTTTTATCACCGATTATCCAAAATCTAAAAATAATTCAAATATATTCAAAAGACAAAAGAAAAAGAAAAACATTTGTAGATAAATAAATAAAATAAACGAGTGTATTAATGATGATGTGGCACCACCGCGGAACCCATAATCCTTTGCGTCAACATGGACCTTCTCCATAGCGTAAAACACACTAGAGTTTGAAGAACTACGAGCCACCACCACACAATAGGTCTGGGCGGCGCGGGCAAAATGGTAGTGGGTTGGTATCAGTTTATCGTGTAAGCGGATCGTGTTCAGTTAATTCTTCCGTAAATGAAGGCAGCAGCATCCGCAGACTGGAACCGTTCGTCAGCTGAATCCGGATTATTAATGTTGTTGAATTGTTGTTGTTATTATTGTTATTATTATTATTATCTAAACAATATCAAAAACTTAACTAAACACAATTTGTTAACAAAAGATTGAAACTATCTGTACTTATAATACCAGAACAGTGGCTGTACCGGATATTTGTCGCGTCTCTAGGTAGGTTAGGTTAGGTTTTTGTACGGGGAATAGCCCACCCAGGCACAGGTCATCGACCCACAACGGGGAGAAATAAAAGTAAAATAAATTAAATATACAAAATCAGGTTATATTAATGACCACCGCCAGAAGCATCTTGTATGGAAACACAGAAGAAGGCAGGCATTCAACAGTGTGAGGAAAGAAGGATGTACTATAATGGGTTATTATAGTGTGACCCACATCACACTGTGACCCAGCCCCACAGTGCAGCCCGTTAAGTACCTCAAGAGAGAAGTGACAACTATTGTGGTGAAGAAGAGAGATTATCAACTAAAGGAGAGAGTTAATAAGCCTTTGATTCCAGCCTCTCTAACAGTTGAAGAGCCACCCCAGATATGAAGCAGTACTCCAAGTTAGGACCAATGAATCCTTATATACTTGAACCAACAGCTCAGGTGAAATTACCTATGGCATCTGTACAGCATTCACAGCTTTGGGGAGGCAGCTTAGCTTATGTTGAGGATATGTGGCACATGACATATTGAGGAATAGTGAGGCCTAGCATATCTATTTTAGTACTTGCAAGATAATAGTATCCTGAAATGTAATTGGTGGAGATCATGTAAATTACAAAGTGTAATTAGGTAAATACCGAGTTTTCACTATTGAATTTAACCAAGTTTGACCTCCCATTCAGAGATGCTGCACAGATCAGCATTGATAGAAGTAATGATATCAGTTCTAAGAAACAGATCTAGTTTGAGAGTTAGGAAGAAGGGAAAATGTGAAGAAGAGTGAAGAGTAGAATCATCAGCGTAATAAGAATGGATAGAATTAGTTGTAGTGAGGTAAATCATTGATAAAAAGGAAGAGAGTTGGCGAAGAACAGAACCCTGTGGGACCCACTACCCTCGACAACACTGCCATGGATCAGTTCTCAAAGGAAGCTAGAGATGAGAGAACAAAGTGGAAGGAAACCATAAAGGGAAGTTTAGATGGCAAGACTTGTGCCATACCCTGTCAAATGCTTTGGGATGTTGAGGGCACGGTTCTTCCATAGTCCTAAGAGGATGACCAAAGATGGGTGCAATAGGAGAGCAGATCACCAGTAGATCTCGCCTGGTGAAAGCCATACTGGTGATCAACAAAAAGAAAAATGGCGGTTAGGTTAAGTAAGGTAAGGAACCTCTGAGAATACAAACACACACACACACACACACACACACACACACACACACACACACACACACACACACACACACACACACACACACACACACACACACACACACACACTATAATCCTCAAGCTGATGTAGAACAAGACTAAATGTAAAGTGTGTGGCCAGACATATGTACACACACTTTGGCAACTATGTTCCTCAGGTAGATGTGCACAATAAACTAGCTGCGCTCACAGTACGAGATGCACAATAAACTAGCTACCGCTCACAGTATGGGGTGCACAATAAACTAGCTACCGCTTACAGTACGGTGCACAATAAACTAGCTACCGCTCACAGTACGGGGTGCATAATAAACTAGCTACCGCTCACAGTACAGGGTGCACAATAAACTAGCTACCGCTCACAGTATGGGTGCACAAAAAACTCTACCGCTCACAGTACGGGGTGCACAATAAACTAGCTACCGCTCACAGTACAGGGTGCACAAAAACCAGGCACCGCTCACAGTACAGGGTGCAATAAACTAACTGCAGTCTGCAACAAAAATTACACACCCCACCCCACACACACCACACCCCCACACCTCCCCCACACACCCCACCCCCACCTCCCCACCTCCCCCACACACCTCCCCCACACACACCCCCCCACACACACACCTCCCCCACCCCACACCCCACCCCACACACACACCCCCCACCCCACCCCCACCCCCCCACCTCCCCACCCCCACCTCCCCACCCCACACACCCCACCCCACCCCACCTCCCCCCACACCCCCACACACCCCACACCCCACACCCCACACCACACCCCCACCACACACACCCCACACTCATTATCCAGCTAACTCAATCACCATCATCAATTTTAGTCTCAACTCCCAAATAATAGATTTTGAATATTTAATTAAACAATAATCAGTGTGTGTTTGGTGGTGGTGGTGGTGGTGTGGTGGTGGTAGTGGTGGTGGTGAGTAGTGGTGAGTGAGTAGTGAGTGATGGAAATAGTGGTGGTGGTGAAGTGGTGAGTGGTGGTGGTGGTGAGTGGTGGTGGTGGTGGTGGTAGTGGTAGGTGGTGGCAGTGGTGGTGGTGGTGGTGGTGGTGGTGGTGGTGGTGGTGGTGGTGGTGGTGGTGGTGAGGTGGTGGTGGTGGTGGTGGTGGTGGTGGTGGTGAAGTGGTGGTGGTGGTGGTGGTGGTGGTGGTGGTGGTGGTGGTGGTGGTGGTGGTGGTGAGGTGGTGGTGGTGGTGGTGTGGTGGGTGGTGGTGGTGGTGGTGGTGGTGGTGGTGGTGTGGTGGTGGTGGTGGTGGTGGTGGTGGTGGTGGTGGTGGTGGTGGTGGTGGTGGTGGTGGTGGTGGTGGTGGTGGTGGTGGTGAGGTGGTGATGGTGGTGGTGGTGGTGGTGGTGGTGGTGGTGGTGGTGGCAGGATGGTGGTGGTGGAGTGGTGAGGTGGTGGTGGTGATGGTTGGGGTGGTGGTGGTGATGGTGGGGTGGTGGTGGTGGGGTGGTGGCAGGGAGTGGTGGTGGTGGTGGTGGTGGTGGTGGTGGTGGTGGTGGTGGTGGTGGTGGCAGGGTGGTGGTGGTGATGGTGGCAGGGGTGGTGGTGGGTGGTGGTGGTGAGTGGTGGTGGTGGTGGTGGTGGTGGTGGTGGTGGTGTGGTGGTGTGGTGGTGTGGGTGGTGGTGTGATGGTGGCAGGAGTGGTGGTGGTGATGGTGGCAGGGTGGTTTGGTGATGGTGGCAGGAGTGGTGTGGTGGTGGTGGTGGCAGGAGTGTGGTGAGGTGGGTGGTGGTGGTGGTGGAAGGTGGTGGTGATGGTGGCGGTGGTGGTGGTGATGGTGGCAGGGGTGGTGGTGGTGGTGGTGGTGGTGGTGGTGGTGGTGGTGTGGGGTGGTGGTGGTGGTTGGGTGGTGGTGGTGGTGGTGGTGTGGGGTGGTGGTGGTGGTGGAAGGGTGGTGGGGTGGTGGTGATGGTGTGGGGTGGTGGTGGTGATGGTGGCAGGGGTGGTGGCAGGGGGTGGTGGTGGTGGTGGTGGTGATGGTGGCAGGGGTGGTGGCGGGAGTGGTGGTGGTGGTGGTGGTGGTGGTGGTAGTGGTGGTGGTGGTGGTGGAGTGGTGGTGGTGGTGGCAGGAGTGGTGGTGGTGGTGGTGGTGGTGGTGGTGGTGGTGGCAGGAGTGGTGGTGGTGATGGTGGCAGGAGTGGTGGCGGTGTCAGACAAGTGAGAGAAGCAGAAGGGGTGCTGGAGGATGGGAGAGTGGGGGAGGGGGCGTGGGAGCGAGGTGTGTTGCCGGCGGGAGGAGGAGGGTGGGGGAGGGAGTGGGGGAGGGGGAGAGGGGGAGGGGGGGGGGAGGGGGGGGGGAGGGGGTGGGGAGGCCTGACCAAATATTGACAGTGTCGTGTAAATGTTGCTCTGCTGTGTGTGTCTGTGTGTACATGGCCTGCTGTGTGTCTCTGTGTGTGTGTCTGTGTACATGGCCTGCCGTGTGTGTCTCTGTGTGTGTGTCTGTGTACATGGCCTGCCGTGTGTATCTGTGTGTCTGTGTGTTCATGGTCTGCTGTGTGTGTCTCTGTGTGTACATGGTTCACTGTGTGTTTCTTTGTTTGTGTCTGTGTACATGGCTTGGTGTGTGTATGTGTGTGTGTGTGTGTGTGTGTGTGTGTGTGTGTGTCTGTGTGTGTGGGGTGGGTGGTGTGTGAATGGCAGCATTATGTTAGTGTTAAGGTGCAAGCACTGTTTGCTTCCTGAAAGAAGAACCGCCCGTCTGGCTCTGCGTTCTTCCGGAGGAGTAAGCCTGCTGAAGAGAGGAACCACATTCATGGAGTTGACTTTGCCATCTACTAATGCATCCTACATAGGCTAACAGAAATGCCTGTTGGGATCAACAAATGCCTCATGACGGCTCCGGTCGCTGAATCACTCGTCATGCCTTCTTCATCAGTGCATACGCCCCAACACTGGATGCAGAGGATGACATCAAGGAGGCATTTACGCCGACCTCGACAGAGTGCCAACCTCTATCCCCAGAAGACAAGGTTGTGCTCCTTGGTGACTTCAATGCCAGAGTTGGCAGAGATGCTGACATTTGGCAGGGAACCAGAGGGAGAAATGGACTAGGCAAGTGTAATCCCAACGGCCTACTCCTCCTCACCAAGTGTGCTGCTCACAACCTCACTATCACCAATACTTTGTTTAGGCAGAAGGACAAGCTCAGGAGTTCTTGGCAACACCCACAATCCAAACACTGGCATCTCATTGGCTACATAAATGTCAGTGAAAGAAATCGCCGAGATGACCTCATCACCTGAGCCATGCGTGGCTTAGACCACAGCGTCGACTCCTAAAAACCCCGACAACAAACGACTCAAATCCCAGTGCCGAATGGAGTATCCTAGACGATACCATGACAAGAACCTGCAGAGACCCTCAGCTAGATCGAAACAACACACCAGGATTGGTTTCATGAAAAAAAAAAACACGGAAAGTAGCGTACTCATCGATGGAAAGCATGCTACTTTAACTGACTGGCAAAACAACACTCAGTCATGGACCAAAGCTGTTACCTTCCACAAGTAGAAAGAGGCGGCCTAGAGCAAACTTCGCTATCTTAAGAACAAAGGGTTAACAAATACAGCATGTGAAATGCAAAAAACTGCAGATCAACAAAAAAGACGTGAATTTTTTTATTCCATTACAAAATTTTATGTCTCAAATGCCTTCATTCACCTAACCAAGGCTTTCGACTCCGTCAACATGAAATCCCTCTGGTGGACCCTCAGCAGGTCTGGCTCCCAACCATAAATCATCGCCATTATGAGGCAACTCCATGATGGCATGAACGACAGTGCCCTGCACAATGGCACCCAGTCCGAGTTCTACCCGATCCAAACGGGGGTTAAACTAGAAAGAAAGGTGTCCCAGCTTCCATAACTGAACTTCAGTATGCAGCCAACCTCACCCTCGTCGCTCACACTGAACACGACCTACAAGAGATCCTGAAACATCTTACGCATATGCGTATACACACTTCGGCCTTGAGGTGAATGTACACAAGACACAGATTCTCTCTCAGCCTGCCCTGGTTCAGCCACACCTCCACCATCCGCCCAGATTAACGGTACTACCCTCTCTAATGTTACCCACTTTCAGTATCTCGGCTCCCACCTGTCCACCACCGCGGACATCGATGAAGAGATTCAACATAGGATCAGATGTGCATCAGCCTTTGGTAGACTCTGTACCCGTGTCTTCAGCTGTAGGGAGCTGAAATTATCTACAAAGTTACACGTATATCGAGCAGTGGTCCCCCACCCTGCTGTAGGGCAGTGAGACATGGGTCACATACAGGAGGCACCTCAAGGCACTTGATAACTTTCACCAACGTAGTCTACGTTCCATCCTCCGAGTTCGCTGGGAAGACAAGAGAACAAATGCCAGTATTCTTGCCTGACACCAACTGTAGGAGCATCGAGGCTACCATTATCCATGAACAACTACGCTGGACTGGCCATGTTACCCTCATGGACGACAGTAGACTGCCAAAGTAGCTACTTTAGTCACCTAACGAATGGTAAACGTAACGCTGGCTGGCAACTGAAAAGTAAGGATAGTCTTAAGACAAACCTGAAAAATGCCATCGGCCCCTCACCTGGAGACGATTACCACACAGTAACGCTTGGAGGAGCACCACACGAGAAGGTGTCAATATTTTGAGTTAGCCCGACTGCAGACCGAGGCAGACAAGCGTCAACGTCGGAAAGACGCTGCCACCGCCCCTCCCCCACTAGATGTAGCCCCGCAGTCCAACATCAGTGATCGACTCGCCGGTCACGTATCGGCCTCTTAGTCACCTCAGAACTCACCAACGAAGGTGACATCCTTAATAACTCATATCATTGTATCATAGCTGGATGATACTATTAAGTGTGGTTTTTGTGTTTTTTTGGTTAGGCACAACACAGTCACAACACACAGTACAGCACACACTACACAACACACACTACACACAACACAACACACACTACACAACACACAACACACACTACACAACACACACTACACAACACACACTACACAACACACTACACACAACACACTACACAACACCACACACACACACTACAACACACACTACACAACACACACTACACAACACACCACACAACACACACTACACAACACACACTACACAAACACACACTACACAACACACACTACACAACACACACTACACAACACACACACAACACACACAACAACACACACTACACACACACAACACAACACACTACACACACACTACACAAACACACTACAACACACACTACACAACACACTACACAACACACACCACACAACACACACTACACAACACACACCACACAACACAACTACACAACACACACTACAACACACACTACACAACACACCACACAACACACTCACACAACACACACTACACAACACACACTACAACACACACTACACCACACACACACTACACAACACACTACACAACACACACCACAACACACACTACACAAACACACACACTACACAACACACACACACACTACATAAACACACTCACAACACACTACACACAACACACACACTACACAACACACACTACACAACACACACTACACAACAACACACACTACACAACACACTACAAAACACACTACACAACACACTACACAAACACACACACAACACACACTACACAACACACTACACAACACACACTACACAACACACACCACACAACACTACACAACACACACTCACAACACACTACACACACACACTACACAACACACACTACACACACACAACACACTACAACACACTACACAACACACTACACAACACACACTACACAACACACACTACACAACACACACTACACAAACACACACACACTACACAACACACACTACACAACACACTACACAACACACACATACACACATACACAACACACACTACACACACACACTACACAACACACTACACAACACACACCACACACCACACAAACACACACTACACAACACACACTACACAACACACACTACACAACACACACTACACACACACACTCACAACACACAACACAACACACACTACACAACACACACTACACAACACACACTACACACTACACACTACACAACACTACACAACACACTCACAACAAACACTACACAACACACTACACAACACTTACACACCACACTACACAACACATACACAACACACACTACACAACACACTACACAACACACACTACACAACACACTACACAACAACACACTACACAACACACACTACACAACACACTACACCACACACTACACAACACACTACACACCACACATACACAACACACTACACATCACCATAGCATGTTCACCGGAATGGAAATCATCTCACCTCAGCAGAGAATTAAAAATTGTAACCATTGTTGTAGTGAGGTAATGACGTACCGAGGTGAACCCTGCCCCTGTGCTTGATCTCCCCCTCCTCTCCTGCCCTCACCATCCTCCCCCCTCACCTTGCAAGACAAGCCAAACAAAGTAATGACGCCCTAGAGTTTCCGTCACCTGGGTGATGATATTTATTCACATCTTAATTATTCCACCTGAGAAACCATATACAATTATGTAAATCAGGTGAGGGCAGGAGGTAGGGGGTGAGGTGGAGGGGAGGTATGGGTGGTGGGGGTGAGGTGGGGGTGAGATGGTGAGGGGCAGTGAGGGGGTGAGGTGGGGAGAGGTGGGGGTGGGGAGGTGGGGGTGAGGTGGGGTGAGATGGCAGGTGGAGGGGTGGGGGAGGTGGGGGGTGGGGAGGTGGGGGTGAGGGGGCAGGGGGGGTGAGGTGGGGGGTGAGATGGCAGGTGAGGTGGGGGGTGAGGGGGAGGTGAGGTGGGGGGGCAGTGGGGGGGCAGGGAGGTGGTGAGGTGGGGGGGGGAGGTGGGGGTGAGGTGGGGGGAGGGGGGAGGTGGGGGAGGGGGGGGTGAGGTGGGGGTGAGGTGGGGTGAGGTGGAGGTGAGGTGGAAGGAGGTGGGGGTGAGGGAAGGTGAGGTGGGGGGTGGAGGTGGGGGGTGAGGGGGGTGAGGTGGGGGAGGGGGGTGAGGTGGGGGAGGTGGGGTGAGGTGGGGGTGAGGTGGGGTGAGGGGGGGAGGTGGGGGTGAGGTGGGGGTGAGGTGGGGTGGAGGTGGAGGGTGAGGTGGGGGGGTGAGGTGGGGGGTGGGAGGTGGTGGGTGAGGTGGGGGTGGAGGTGGGGGTGAGGTGGGTGTGTGAGGTGGGGGGTGAGGTGAGGGGGAGGGCAGGTGGTAGGAGGGGGTAGGTGAGGTGGAGGTGAGGTGGGGGTGAGGTGGAGGTGAGGTGGCAGGTGAGGTGGGGTGAGAGGTGGGGGTGAGGGGGGTGAGGGGAGAGGGTGGGGTGAGGGGGGGGTGAGGGGGGTGAGGTGGGGGTGAGGGGGGTGGAGGTGAGGTGGGGTGAGGTGGGGTGAGGTGGAAGTGCAGTGGGGGGGTGAGGTGGGAGGTGAGGTGGGTGAGGGGGGGTGAGGTGGGGGGTGGGGGGTGAGGTGGGGGGGTGAGGTGGGGGGTGAGGTGGGGGTGAGGTGGGGGGTGAGTGGTAGGTAATATAAAATAAAACCGAGATATTATTCTAAGCTTTACCTTCCGCAAAAGTTTTAAAGGTAACGATGTATTATATTAAACCACTAAACCATCGGAAGGACTAAAACTAAAACAAACTAAAACAAACAGATGTTGTATTACCTTATTAGACCTGAGGTTTAGTTAGGAAAACACAACAGGAGGCCATGCAAGGCTTCCATAATGAGGAGGTCCGTCTCACAGTTGCTCCTGCCAAGAACTCAGAAATTAGACTGTTAAAACGGGTGGTCATGTTGGTGGGCGTGGTTACGAATAGTTGAATGTGGTGGTTGTGTAATTAACTGGCCTGTTCGGATGGAACGGCCCAAGTGTTCATGGATGCGAGTTATCAAATGTCTTTTTGTTTGACCTATATATGCTGCCCTACAGCTAGCACACGTAAATTGATAATCAAAAGAGGATTCAATTATTATTTTTTTTTGCTGCTTACGGTGGCTAGTTTATTGTGCACCCCACACTCATCCTGTGAGTGGAAGCGCCAAAGGATTACAGAGTAGAGTTTACAAAGGGTCAGTGTAACTAACCCCCGTTGTCAGGATATTATGGCACTGAATGTTACAGTGTTTCAAATATATTATTTGTTTAGTTCTATACATAAAGGGTAACTTATTCACAACTGTGTGGGTACAGGAGTGTGAGGCAGTATGTCTGGCCTCAGGAGTGTGAGGCAGTATGTCTGGCCACAGGAGTGTGAGGCAGTATGTCTGGCCTCAGGAGTGTGAGGCAGTATGTCTGGCCGCAGGAGTGTGAGGCAGTATGTCTGGCCGCAGGAGTGTGAGGCAGTATGTCTGGCCGCAGGAGTGTGAGGCAGTATGTCTGGCCGCAGGAGTGTGAGGCAGTATGTCTGGCCTCAGGAGTGTGAGGCAGTATGTCTGGCCTCACACATTGTTATTCACATTTACGTGAGAGGTAGTCAAGCACATTGTGTGTCTGGTTCTATACATGGGAACTGATATAGTTACTAAGTGTAAAAAAGTGGACACAATCTTAATATGTCGGCTACCTTGCCATTAGAGATGAAGTGTTGTGCCATTTCACACACAGTGTGCTTGGACCTGTCCCTAAAAGGTTCTATCTTCACACAGTCGAGGACGTAGTGTTCAAGTGTGTGGCCATATGTATGGCCACACACTTTACATTTAGTCTTGTTCACATCTGCCTGAGGGACATACTGCCAGAGTGTGTGGCCATATGTCTGGCCACACACTTTACATTTAGTCTTGTTCACATCTGCCTGAGGAACATACTGCCAGAGTGTGTGGCCATATGTCTGGCCACACACTTTACATTTAGTCTTGTTCACATCTGCCTGAGGGACATACTGCCAGAGTGTGTGGCCATATGTCTGGCCACACACTTTACATTTAGTCTTGTTCACATCTGCCTGAGGAACATACTGCCAGAGTGTGTGGCCATATGTCTGGCCACACACTTTACATTTATTGTTCACATCTGCCTGAGGAACATACTGCCAGAGGTACTTATATCCTAACCTTAGTCTAGCTGTTACAACATCTTGTAATCTAGTGATCTTGTTACTTGCTCCATATACATGTTTCACACCATGGATCGACTAGTGCCTGTTTGTACTTGTCTACTGGTGTTAAATTCATCAACAAATTCTAGGCTGTACTGAGCAGTGTGTTTGATTGGCCTGTGAGAGAGAGATCACCCAGAACAGCTTGATCTTAACACCCCCGTCAACAAGACACATATGCCTGTGTCTGGCTTCAGTGACAAGCGGGTTACAATCTGAGTTTAGGTTATCAAGAGCAAGTAGTGAGTATAAGGAGTCAGTGATGATGAGACTGTCAGTGTCTTCAACAAGTTTCAGGGCTGAGTATGACAAATAGTTCACTTTGTAGAGTGGATGTCCAGTTATTAACTGTGGCTCCTTTAATGTACTGCCGTTAGGCTGAGCCACAGCACTTCCAGCCCTCCCACAGACAGTGTTAAGAGAGCCGTCAGTGTAGATGATGTTATTATCAGTCTGCAGGTTATGTATGTGGTCAAGAGCTCTCACTTTGGCTGTGTTGGAGATAAGTATTATGTGTGGTCAGTCGTGTAGGCGGGTACGAGGGTGTTGTGATATCGAAGGGAACTGTCCGCCAGGGTGGTCAGTCGTGTAGGCGGGTACGAGGGTGTTGTGATATCGAAGGGAACTGTCCGCCAGGGTGGCAGGAAGCGCTGCTGTGTCTCAGCTTTGTACAGATGGTCTAGTCCAAACATCTTCATATGTGTAGCTGTAGTTTGGATCCATTTAGACTCACCAGTTTCATGACTCACATATTGTAGCAGTTTCTTAGAAGTAATGTTATCAGGATCACCACGCAGAAGCCTCAGGGCTATCATGAGGTTGACTTTATATCTTTAACACTGGGTATACCTACAGTAGTTCTTTCCTCATATTAAGTACTTTAGTGCTCATGGGACATCCTAGGATAATTCAGAGGGCTTTATTTGACATTTTCTCGAGCTTGTCAACGCCTTTCCTGTGACGAAGGACCAGGGCTGGTGCGTGTTATCTATCAGAGATCTTATATAGCCTAGGTACAGTGTTTTAACAATTCTAATATTGGCCCCATAATGTGGGCTGTACCTCGCTACACTTGTAAGAGGTCTCAGTCTGTCAGTACATTGGCGGGTTAGCTGTTGGGTGGCATACACACACAAGGTAAAGTATTCAACATTATATCAGCTCTAAGAGACGCCATAAACTCCGGTACCGGATGTTAACAAAGATACTGAGAAGTGGCAAGCGTTCTACGAACCCACAACGAAACGAACAAGTGCACCGGATTTATATAAAGCTAGACACGTGATGGCTTAATACTTGAGTACAATATTTAAGCCCCATGAGTACAGTGACTTAATCCACAGAGTACAATATTTAAGCCCCATAAGTACAGTGACTTAAACCATAGAGTACAATATTTAAACCCCATGAGTACAGTGACTGCCTGGATTATGTCGACCTTACCTTGAGTACAATGACTTAACTCTACATGCAATAAATAACCCTCCCGAGTACATGGAGTTGGCTCAGGCCATTGTATTCAAGAGGACTTCTGACCTTCATTGTATTTTTCATAAAATCTGATAAAAGCAGCTGCCAGGATGTTTGTCTACAGTGTGTGTGTGTGTGTGTGTGTGTGTGTGTGTGTGTGTGTGTAGAAGTGTATTTATAATAATAACATGGCAGCCATAAGGGTGAAAATATACAGTTACATAATTGGTGAATGGGTCTCTTGATTGACAAATAATATACAAGTAACATAAGTACACAACTTGCATTCCCTAGAAAGACGAAGAGCGCGGGGAGATATGATAGAAGTATTTAAGTGGGTGAAAGGAATCAATAAAGGGGATATAGATAAAGTTCTTATAATATCCGAGCAGGACAGGACTCGGAGCAACGGATTCAAGTTGGATAAGTTTAGGTTTAGGAGGGAGATAGGAAGAAACTGGTTCACAAATAGGGTGGTGGACGAGTGGAACAAGCTTAGCAACTTTGTAGTAAGTGCTGGAACTCTGGAAAGTTTTAAAAGGAGGCTGGATAGATTCATGGATGATAGAGAGTGGTAGTAACTCTCGACAGGAGCTGCCATGCATAGGCCAACCGGGCTATTGCAGACTCCTTATTTTCTTGTGTTCTTATAAGTGATACAAATATGATATATAATTACTAGGTGGGGAGAAGGTCATACGACAGGGCATTTCAACATAGTGACAGTGCAAAAAGGTAAGATTGACTGGGAGTGAATACACTGGTTGATTACGAGTTGTTGATAATTTTTACAATGGTTGGGACTGGGCTGTTCTTATAGCGATCAGTACGTGCTCGTATGGGCTGGATGTGGTCACAGTGATGATCAGAGAGAGCCGAGAGGGTCAGTGTGTTGAGCGCCTCTTGATATGTGGAGTAGGAAGGGGAGAGAATAATCTTGCATGCCCTCTTTTACACTTTTTCTAGGTGTTTACGTTGTGTGGCATTTAGGGAGGAAGACCAGGTGGGGGAGGCATAGGTGAGCTTGGGAAGTATGAATGTTGTGTAAACACTGAGGAGCTCGGGGGCAGGAACTCCGAGGGACTTGAGTCGGCGGAGGAGGTGGAGACGAAAACTGGAGGATTTGACAACTTCACTGACGTGTGGTTTCCAATTTAGTTTGTTATCTATAGTGACGCCGAGGAGCTTAGTGGAATCTACAACCTGGAGTGTGTTGGGACCTAAAGTAATGGAAGGGGGTGGGACAACGTCGGAGAAGAGGTTGATGTGCATAACCATGGTCTTGGTATGGGTGATGGTGACGTATCGTAATTAGTACTATTAATCGGTGTTATTATCGTAATTAGTGTTCTCCTGTTCATTTGATCTTACATCCACTATATTAATTTGTCCCACGTCAACATCAGATCAATAACAGGTCCCTAGTTCACATCTCGCACCGTCGCTCCTCTTTTGTCGGTAAGTGACGTTAGTTCTTGGCCGTGACAGCGGACAGGAACAAACCCCCAGCCGCTGGAGGTCACCACAAGAGGGTTAACATTATAATGAGTCTTGGTTTACCTTGGAGGTCACCACAAGAGGGTTAACATTATAATGAGTCTTGGTTTACCTTGGAGGTCACCACAAGAGGGTTAACATTATAATGAGTCTTGGTTTACCTTGGAGGTCACCACAAGAGGGTTAACATTATAATGAGTCTTGGTTTACCTTAGAGGTCACCACAAGAGGGTTAACATTATAATGAGTCTTGGTTTACCTTGGAGGTCACCACAAGAGGGTTAACATTATAATGAGTCTCAGATTACCTTGGAGGTCACCACAAGAGGGTTAACATTATAATGAGTCTTAGATCACCTTGGAGGTCACCACAAGAGGGTTAACATTATAATGAGTCTTGGATTACCTTGGAGGTCACCACAAGAGGGTTAACATTATAATGAGTCTTAAATTACCTTGGAGGTCACCACAAGAGGGTTAACATTATAATGGTCTTAGGTACAGAGGTCTACAGAGGTTAACATTATAATGAGTCTTAGATTACAGCAGGGAGGGTCCTACAAGGGTTAACGATATAATGAGTGCAGGTTAAACCAAAGTCACCACAAGAGGTTAACATTATAATGAGTCTTGGATTGTAGAAGTCACCTTTAAGAGGTTAACATTATAATGAGTCTTAGGTGCCTTGGAGGTCACTACAAGAGGTTAACATTATAATGAGTCTTGGATTACCTTAAGTCACCACAAAGAGGGTTAACATTATAATGGAGTCTTAGATTATGTAGAGTCACCACAAGAGGGTTAACATTATAATGAGTCTTAGATCACCTTGGAGGTCACCACAAGAGGGTTAACATTATAATGAGTCTTGGTTTACCTTGGAGGTCACCACAAGAGGGTTAACATTATAATGAGTCTTAAATTACCTTGGAGGTCACCACAAGAGGGTTAACATTATAATGAGTCTTAGATCACCTTGGAGGTCACCACAAGAGGGTTAACATTATAATGAGTCTTAGATCACCTTGGAGGTCACCACAAGAGGGTTAACATTATAATGAGGCTTAGATTACCTACACCAGGTTCTTAAGGCTCAGATTAAACATATATTGAGGGAAAATCATATAATGTATAATTTCTTAGTATATTAAAATGAGGAACGTATTTACAGAGACAAGGAACAATTGAAATACAAACCACAGCCTAACCTAACACTAACCTAACACTAACCTAACCTAACACTACCCTAACCACTGTACTACACTTGAGTCATAACCTCTCACCAGCCGACCACACCCTCTCACCAGCCGACCACATCCCCTCACTAATCAGGCTCCTATCCCTCCATACACTCATCGACTGGCAGTGTGGCCAAATCCCCGTGACCAAGTTCTGCTATATATATATACTCCCGGTGTAAATTAATTAGTAAAATAACAAATATATCATAAAAATTATTCTATTGTTCTAGTATTAATGTTTATCTCAGCATAATCTAGAGAAAACAGAGAATTATTGTCAAGTTTGTCAGTACTTGGACCTTTGGGAGCCGGATCCTGTGGGTACGACTCTTTGGGAGCCGGATCCTGTGGGTACGACTCTTTGGGAGCCGGATCCTGTAGGTACGACTCTTTGGGAGCCGGATCCTGTGGGTACGACTCTTTGGGAGCCGGATCCTGTGGGTACGACTCTTTGGGAGCCGGATCCTGTGGGTACGACTCTTTGGGAGCCGGATCCTGTAGGTACGACTTTGGGAGCCGGATCCTGTGGGTACGACTCTTTGGGAGCCGGATCCTGTGGGTACGACTCTTTGGGAGCCGGATCCTGTAGGTACGACTCTTTGGGAGCCGGATCCTGTGGGTACGACTCTTTGGGAGCCGGATCCTGTGGGTACGACTCTTTGGGAGCCGGATCCTGTGGGTACGACTCTTTGGGAGCCGGATCCTGTAGGTACGACTCTGAGTATGACTCTATAGTACCAATCTTGTAAGTGAATTTCTTCGGGAGATCATAATTGTAATAGAATTTGCCAGTCGTTTTCAAGGCAGAGTAAACACAGGGAATAGAATTTACAGTTTTTGAGTACAGTGGTGCGCATTTTGACCTTCACTAGATTGACTAAACAGCCGCTACACGTCAGCATGTGTGAGGGACAAAAGTATCTACTGATAATTGACAAAGTTCACCAACTGGATTGTCGTCAGGTACATCCGTGTAACTGTAAAACCTCACTCCAAAATTGTGATGTGTAATTGTTTCTCCATTTCGGAACATCACAGTCTTCACCACATTGTGTCTAATACGTTAAGTTTCTCTGGGGAATAATTCATTAATGCGGCTCCATCAAATTTCGCGGGTGGGTTTCACTTGGCAAAAACACTCTGACACTGAAAAATTTACCAAAATTTTCAAAACAAGTGACATTTTCGGGTCGTTCTTCAGCGTAGTTCACCAGAATTTTTTTCTATCACAAATGACAAACATCTCCACCGGGAACAGTTTTCAGTTTCAAGGAGCAACTGAAGGTTTTTATAAGAGTTTTCAAAGTCATGAACAAGATTATGTTCTCCGATCATTAGCAATGTCGAGGTAGGGAACGAACTTGCAAACAGCGATCACAAAAAAATTAGATTCCAGTTAGATTTTCAGGGCAGACGTAAGGAAAATTCCACTAAAGTACCAGATTTCAGAAGGGCAAACTTTGACAGTTTAAAGAGGCAGCTGAGAGAGGGGGTGTCGCGCTTGGCTGTGAACCTGACAGATGACACGGACCTGATAACGAGATCTGAGATTGCCGAGTTCCACGACAATTTAAATAATGAGTTACTTAATGCACAGAGGCAGAACATACCATACAAAAAACTCAGATCAGACAACAATGACCCTAAATGGATAAATAATTATTTAAAGAACATTATTGGCCAAAGGAAGGCTATAGGTAGAAGGATAAATCGTGGCGAAATTTACCTCCGGGATTATTATAAGGTATTGGCCGGTTAGGGTTAAGACCGAGATAAGGAAAGCCAAGAGGAATAATGAGGTAAGGATAGCAAGGGAGGCGAAGACAAACCCCAAAGGATTCTACCAAATGTATCAAACTAAAACACGAGAAAAGATTGGACCAATACGGTCAGATACCGGCGAGCTAACTGATAACGACGGAGAAATGAGCAATAATTTGAATAAATATTTTTCAACAGTTTTCACCACCGAAAATTTAAACATGATACCCGAGGCACCGACTATATACAGAGATAGTGAAGAAAACAAACTAAGCGAGATAGAAGTGACTAGTAACGATGTTAGTAAGCAAATAGACAAACTAAAGCCTAATAAGTCACCAGGTCCCAATGAGATATTTGCCAGAGTATTAAAGGAATGTAAGGAAGAGCTTAGTACGCCCTTAGCAAAGTTGTTTAACATGTCCTTAAAAACGGGTGTAGTACCAGAATCCTGAAGGATAGCAAATGTAATACCGATTTTCAAGAAGGGAGTTAGATCACTATCCTCTAACTACCGCCCAATCAGTCTAACATCAATAGTAGGCAAATTACTGGAAGCAATCATTTCAAACTCTATTCGAAATCACCTGGAGAAGCACCGATTGATCAATAATTCCCAGCATGGCTTCACAAGCGGCCGTTCATGTCTAACTAATCTAACATTCTTTTCATCAGTTTTCGAATCGGTGGACGAGGGGCACGACTATGATGTGGTATATCTTGACTTTAGCAAAGCCTTCGACAGAGTCCCCCATGAAAGACTAATTAGAAAGGTAGAAGCACAGGACAGGAAACAGCGAGTGAGCATTAATGGCACTAGATCCCATTGGAGCAACGTCACAAGTGGAGTTCCCCAAGGCTCAGTACTTGGACCATTATTATTTATTATATAAATAAGCGACATAGATATCGGCATAGACAGCAACATAAGTAAATTTGCTGATGACACTAAAATAGGACGTGTTATTAAATCTGACGAGGACTCCGCAAAACTACAGGAAGATCTAAAAAAAAATTTCGAATGGTCTGAAAAATGGCAGATGAAATTCAATGTGGACAAATGTAAAGTACTCAGTATAGGAGATGTAAACAGGGAAACTAGATACCAGATGAACAACGATGCCATAGAGAAATCCGACTGTGAGAGAGATTTAGGAGTAATGATAAGTAGGAACCTTAAGCCAAGTAAACAATGTGTTCTTGCTCGTAACAAGGCTAATAAAGTACTTGGGTTCATACAAAGGAGTGTTAGTTACAAGACTAGCGAGGTCATCCTAAAACTGAATCTTGCTCTTGTGAGACCACACCTGGATTACGCAGTTCAGTTCTGATCACCGTATTACAGAATGGATATAGAATCATTGGAAAGAATTCAGAGGAGAATGACAAGACTAATCCCGGGCATTAGGAACCTTGAGTACAGAGACAGGTTAACGCATCCTAATTTGCACTCCCTCGAGAGACGTAGAGCGAGGGGCGACCTGATAGAGGTGTATAAGTGGAAGGCAGGGCTAAACAAAGGGGACATTACAAAGGTACTCAAACTATCCAACCAGGAGCTAACTCGTAACAATGGTTTTAAATTAGACAAATTTAGATTTATGCGTGAAATAGGTAAACACTGGTTTGGAAACAGAGTAGTGGATGAATGGAACAAGTTACCAAATATCATCATTAACTCGAATACGCTGAATAGCTTCAAACACAGGTTGGATGCTTATATGAGCAATAGGGGTTGGGTGTAAACGGGACTGTCCAGTATGGGCCAATAGGCCCGCTCCAGTTTCCTCCATTCTTATGTTCTAATATGGGAGGATATGCCATCAGCCAGAAGGTTGACAGTTACGTTGCCTCTTAATGGCCGTTACCCTGCATGCCCGTAAGCTCCACGGTCTGTACACGTCACCTGATGTAGGATGTCGCGTCATCATATATAGCATGCTGGCTCACGTCATCATATAAAGTATTCTGGCTCACGTTATCATCATACAAGGCGTTAGTATGGTAGAATAGGAGGTTAGGTGAGGAAGGGTCAGGATCCTGGTGGGTGGCTGGGTGCTGATCAGTCACTTGGTGGAGAGCATTGTTCTCTGTCATCGTCTTGCCTTCAAAAAAACCGATATATATTGTCAAAAATACGAAGACCTTGTGGAGATATTTATGTGTGTATATGTGTAATAATAATAATAATAATTAACAATTTATTAAAAAAACCACAATTACCAGAGCTTGTAAATATACAATGAGCAGACAATGACTTAGAGATAAAGTGACTGTAGTGAACGGAATGATGAACAAAACCCTTCATTACACTATCACCACCACCATCATCACCACCACTATCATCACCACCACTATCACCTACACAACAGCCACACATCCCTTACCTTCCTTCAGTCGATTTATTTGCAGGATTAGAGCGCACACATAGGCCACCAGGCAGATTATACTACCAAGACAGGTAGCCAGCAAAAGTAGTAAGGTAGTGAGAGAGGTTGTCTTGGGCCAGTGAGCGAAGGGACCTGCAGTATCACTCTCAGGTCGCGGACGAGTTGATTTGATATCATGGATGGATTCTTTGTTTGGTGAGCATATCGTTACTACTGCTGCTGTAATGGGGGAAGCTTAGGTTAAGTTAATACAGATTAAACTACATTAGATTAGTTTAAGTTACTACAGATAACATTACTATATCAATCTAACGTTACTTGACCCCCACTTAATGAATTAATTAGACAAATGGCGAACTAATTAACATACGACATACACTCGGACACACTCACTTGATTCAGTAAGGGACTCAGCACGCCATTCGACCAGACCATCACTGCTTAACACTGCTTTATAGAATGGTAGCAGCGTTGACCCGGCCTTCGGAGACACCTCATACGGGGGATTCTGAAACCAAGAAACATAACCTTATTTTCTGGGTCTAAATTCTTAATAATCATACTAATTTATGGATTAGGTTAGGTCAGATTAAGTCAGGCGCTCGATAATAATAGTAATAAATAGCAACAAATAGCAATAATACATTACATTATAAGATACAGCAACACTAGCTTCACTCCTATTGAACTCAGCCACTAGCGTGATCCTTGCTGTCGCCCCTGAGGTTACATTAGGGCGGAAGTGGACCTCATTGGGTTCCTCTGTCAGCTCAAACTCAACGGTACAAGTAGCGTTGGTTTTGTACATCTGATCCTCTGAAAGATGGTTTGGTTAGGTTAGGTTTAGGGATTATGTTAGGGAGATACTTGGAAGTGGAAACTTTTTGTAGTAAGGAACGCTGGAAAGTTTTAAAAGGAGGCTAGATAGGGTGGTGGACGAGTGGAACAAGCATGGCAGCTCCTGTCGAGAGTTACTACCACTCTCTATCATCCATGAATCTATCTAGCCTCCTTTAAAACTTTCCAGCGTTCCAGCACTTACTACAAAGTTGCTAAGCTTGTTCCACTCGTCCACCACCCTATCTAGCCTCCCTTTAAAACTTTCCAGCGTTCCAGCACTTACTACAAAGTTGCAAAGCTTGTTTCACTCGTCCACCACCCTATCTAGCCTCCTTTTAAAACTTTCCAGCACTTACTACAAAGTTGCTAAGCTTGTTCCACTCGTCCACCACCCTAGTTGTGAACCAGTCCCTTCCTATATCCCTCCTAAACCTAAACTTTTCCAACTTAAATCCGTTGCTCCGAGTCCTATCCTGCTCGGATATTATAAGAACTTTATCTATATCCCCTTTGTTGATTCCTTTCACCCACTTAAATACTTCTATCATATCTCCCTGCACTCTTCGTCTTTCTAGGGAATGCAAGTTTAGTTTCTTTAACCTATCCTGATATGGAAGGTTTCTAAGTCCCGGAATCATTTTCGTCATTCTTTGCTGCACCGACTCCAGTGAATTGATATCCATTCTATAATAGGGGCACCAGAACTGAACCGCATAATCGAGGTGCGGCCTGATTAGTGCAAGATATAGTTGCAATAAGACCTCTGCACTCTTGTTACTTACACTTCTAGATATAAAACCCAATACTCTGTTTGCCTTATTTCGAACATTAACGCACTGTTTTCTAGGCCGTAGGTCCGGGCTTACAAGTACCCCTAGGTCTCTTTCACAAGTCGACTTCTCTAGGTTGATGTTGTTAAGGCTGTATACATTGACAGTATTTGTTCTTCCAATATTAACTACGCTGCACTTGCTGGTGTTGAATTTCATTTGCCATTTTTCAGACCACCCCTGCAGTTTATTTACATCCCCCTGTAACGCATTTGCATCCTGCCCTGAATTAATCTGCCGCCCTATTTTGGTGTCATCCGCAAACTTGCTTATGTCACTGCTGATCCCAGTATCTAGATCGTTTATGTAGATTATGAACAAGAGTGGGCCTAGTACTGACCCCTGGGGAACCCCACTGGTTACACGGCCCCACTCAGATTTAACACCATCTACGCCAACCAGCCTATTGCAGACTCCTTATTTTCTTATTTATAATTACTATTATTATTATTATTATTATTATTATTGTTATTATTACACACTAATACTACAAGAAACAACAATAACTTATTTTGATGATAATAATAATAATACCAACAACAACGACAATAACATTACATAATACCTCACTTCACTTCACCTCACCTCACCTCACCTAACCTAACCTCACTTCAAAGTCACTTACTCTGAACAGAACACAGTATGGTCACCAACAGACTCTTCAATACGAGGACTGGAGTCAGTTTCATCCTGTTACCGCCTCTTATGTTTTACAAGACAGACACTAAATAAAAACTCTGCCTTGTTTTATAGTTAATGTTAGGTTCTTCCCGGACACTTAGTATTATAATTTAACTAAGTTTAACTGTCTTCTGTAGTAATGCCTGTCAATTTCTAACTGTTTCTGTCACTAACTCACTTTCTCGAGGCACAGTTACAATCACCACTGACTGTCTCTTTCAGGGTGACGAGTAAACCACACCGTCTTGACAGCTGTCGGGTGCTGTACTGCTCTCACTGGCTGTGTAGCTGAGTCATTTCACTTACCGGATACACCACGATTAACGTCATCCAAGTGATAGAGTCGAACCTTTGATCTAACCTAACTTAACTTAACCTAACTTCAAAGTATGTGGGTAGAGTACGGCACTGACTAATCCTTTTCACACGACACATCCGGTCAATAACGGTATGTGGACGATACACACTGCGGCCTTGCCCTTGGTTCAGCCACACCTCCACCCACTATATAATTATTATTTTTAACGGGGATTAACCCACCGGGGCACAGGTCACTGACCCACATCAGGGCCTGGAGGCGAAAACATTATTATTATAATAAAAATAATAATAATAATAATAATAATAATAATAATAATAATAAAGAACTATCAAGAAATACATATATGAAAAACAATCAATAGTGAGAAACAATATATGTATGTTGTGTTGTGTTGTGTTGTGTTGTGTTGAGTTGTGTTGTGTTGTGTTGTGTTGTCAGGGAAACAATTGAGACCCTACAATTGTATGTAAATGAAGCAGAAGGTCAGATCATCAACCTGGGACTTGGTCACATATGGCAGCAGGGTCTACCATTAGACAACACATTATGCTTCCAATATCTTCCCAGGACCTCCCTGTTTGGTACCCGCCTACTACACCCAGCTTAACGGTACTACCCTCTCTAATGTTACCCACTTCCAGTATCTCGGCTCCCACCTGTCCACCACCGCGGACATCGATGAAGAGATTCAGCATCGGATCAGATGTTCATCTCAAGCCTTTGGCAGACTCTGTACCCGTGTTTTCAGCTGTAGGGAGCTGAGATTATCTACAAAGTTACACGTATATCGAGCAGTGGTCCTCCCCACCCTGCTGTATGGCAGTGAGACATGGGTCACATACAGGAGGCACCTCAAGGCACTTGATAACTCTCACCAACGTAGTCTACGTTCCATCCTCCGAGTTCGCTGGGAAGACACGAGAACAAATGCCAGTATTCTCGCTGACACCAACTGTAGGAGCATCGAGGCTACCATTATCCATGAACAACTACGCTGGACTGGCCATGTTACCCTCATGGACGACAGTAGACTGCCAAAGTAGCTACTTTACAGTCACCTAATGAATAGTAAACGTAACGCTGGCGGGCAACTGAAGAGGTATAAGGATAGTCTTAAGACAAGCCTGAAAAAGTGCCAAATCGACCCCCTCACCTGGGAGACGATTACTCCACACCGTAACGCTTGGAGGAGCACCACACGAGAAGGTGTTAATACTTTCGAGTTAGATCGACTTCAAACCGAGGCAGACAAGCACCAACGCCGGAAAGAGGCTGCCGTCGCCCCTCCCGCACTAGATGTAGCCCCCCACACGTGCCACATCAATGATCGACTCTGCCGGTCCCGTATCGGCCTCTTTAGTCACCTCAGAACTCACCAACGAAGGTGACATCCTTAATAACTCATATCATTGTATCATAGCTGGATGATCGTCATACTTGATTACCAGTGACAGTAGTAGTAGTAGAGTGTGTGTGTGTGTGAAACTGAAAATGACACACACACACACACACACACACACACACCATCAGCCCTACGGGTCATGAGACGCCTGTGGCAGTTAGGAGGGAAGACACGTGTGTCTTAAGGGGTGGTAGGGGTTGAGGGGAGGTAGGGGGTGAGGTTGGTAGGGTGAGGAGGTGGGGTGAGGTGGTAGGGGTGGTAGGGGTGAGGTGGTAGGGGTTGAGGTGGGGGTGAGGTGGTAGGGTTGAGGGAGGTAGGGGGGTGAGGGTGGTAGGGGTGAGGGTGGTAGGGTGTGTGAGAGTGGGGGTGAGGGTGGTGGGTGTGAGGGTGAGGGTGGTGGGGGTGGGGGTGGTGGGGGTGGGGTGGTGGGTGTGGGGGTGGGGGGTGGGGGGGGGGGTGAGGGTGGTAGGGGTGAGGGTGGTAGGGGTGAGGGTGGTAGGGGTGAGGTGGTAGGGGTGTGAGGGTGGGTAGGGGTGAGGGGTGGTAGGGGTGTGAGGTGGTGGGGTGAGGGTGGTGGGGTGTGGGGGGGTGGGGGTGAGTGGTGGGGTGAGGGGTGGTGGGGGTGGGGGTGGTGGGGTGGGGGTGGTGGGGTTGAGAGGTGGTGGGGGTTGGGGTGGGGGTGAGGGGTGGTGGGGGTGGGGGTTGGTGGGGGTGGGGGTTGGTGGGGTGGGGGTGGTAGGGTGTGGGGTGGTGGGGTGTGAGAGGGTGGTGGGGTGGGGGGTGGTGGGGGTGAGGGTGGTGGGGTGTGAGGGTGGTGGGGTGTGAGGGGTGGTGGGGGTGGGGGTGGTGGGGGTGAGGGTGGTGGGGTGGGGTGGTGGGGGTTGAGTGGTGGGGTGTGGGGGTTGGTGGGGGTTGAGGTGGTGGGGTTGAGGGGTTGGTGAGGTTGGGGGGTTGGTGGGGGTTGAGGGGTTGGTGGGGGTTGGGGGGGTTGTGAGGGGCTGAGGGTGGTAGGTGAGGGTGGTGGTGAAGGGGTGGGGGGTGAGGTGGTGGGGTGAGGGTGGTGGGGGTGAGGGTGGGGGTGAGGGTGGTAGGGGTGAGGTTGGTAGGGTGAGGTGGTGGTGTGAGGGTGGTGGGGGTGAGGGTGGTAGGGGTGAGGGGGTGGTAGGGTGTGAGGGGGAGGTGGGTGAGGGTGGTAGGGTGTGAGGGGTGGTAGGGGGTAGGGTGGTGGGGGGTGAGGGGTGGTAGGGGGGGGTGAGGGTGGTAGGGGTGAGGGTGGTAGGGGTGAGGGTGGTAGGGGTGAGGGTGGTAGGGTGTGGTGGTAGGGTGAGGTGGGGGTGAGGGTGGTAGGGGTGAGGGTGGTGGGGGTGGGGTGGTGGGGGTGAGGGTGGTGGGGGTGGTGGTGGGGGTGAGGGTGGTGGGGTGTGAGGGGTGGTAGGGGTGAGGGGTGGTAGGGGTGTGAGGGTGGTGGGGTTGAGGGTGGTGGGGTGTGAGGTGGTGGGGGTGAGGGTGGTGGGGGGTGAGGGGGTGGTGGGGGTGGGGGTGTGGGGGTGAGGGGGTGGTAGGGTGTGAGGGAGGGGTGAGGGGTGGTAGGGGTGGGGGGGTGGTGGGGGGTGAGGGGGTTATGCCTGGGGAAAACGCCTTTGGGTTGAGCAAATATTTACTGTCTCAATACATACATACATACATACATACATACACATACATACACACATAAATACACACACACACACACACACACACAGCTACCCTCATAAAACCAACAAAACAATCACTCGACATGCAATCACGCGCACGCAAAACACACGCAACCATGACACTACAAATAAGCGACCCCTCACGAGACACGCGCGTGAGGGATAACTACATGTTAGAGGGAGGAATAGGTGTGACACGTGCCCTCTCACCCTCCTGCCCTCTCGACCTTCCTGCCCTCTCGACCATCCTGCCTCTCGACCATCCTGCCCTCTCGACCATCCTGCCCTTTCGACCTTCATGCCCTCTCCTCCTCCTTGCCCTCTCACCCTCCCTGTCCTCTCGACCTCCCTGCCTCGACCTCCCTGCCCTCTCACCCCCCTGCCCTCTTGACCATTCTGCCCTCTTGACCATCCTGCCCTCTCGCATCCTGCCCTCTCCTCCTCCTGCCCTCTCACCCTCCTGCCCTCTCGACCTTTCCTGCCTCTCGACCATCCTGCCTCGACCTTCCTGCCCTCTTGACCATCCTGCCCTCTTGACCATCCTGCCCTCTCGACCTTCATCCCTCTCCTCCTCCTCCTGCCCTCTCACCCCTCCCTGCCCTCTCACCCTTTGCCCTCTCTTCCTCCTCTGCCTCTCACCCTTCTGTCCTCCTCCTCCTCCTGCCCTCTCACCCTTCCTGCCCTCTCACCTCCCCTGCCCTCTCGACCTTCCTGCCCTCTCACCATCCTGCCCTCTCGACCATCCTGCCCTCTTGACCATCCTGCCCTCTCGACCATCCTGCCCTCTCCTCCTCCTCCTCCTGCCCTCTCCCACCCTCCCTGCCCTCTCGACCATCCTGCCCTCTCAACCATCCTGCCTCTCCCTCCCCTCCTCCTGCCCTCTCCCTCCTGCCCTCTCGACCTTCCTGCCCTCTCGACCATCCTGCCCTCTCGACCATCCTGCCCTCTCGACCATCCTGCCCCTCTCTCCCTCATCGTGCCCTCTCGACCATCCTGCCCTCTTGACCATCCTGCCCTCTTGACCATCCTGCCTCTTGACCATCGCCCTCTCACCCTCCCTGCCCTCTCACCCCTCCCTGCCCTCTCCCCCTTCTGCCTCTCCTCCTTCTCCTGCCCTCTCACCCTCCCCTGCCTCTCACCCTTCCTGCCTCTCGACCATCCCTACCCTCTCGAATCCTGCCCTCTGACATCCTGCCCTCCTCGATCTACCCCTCTCCTCCTCCTCCTGCCCTCCGACCATCCTGCCCTCTCGACCATCCTGCCCTCTTGACCATCCTGCCCTCTGACCATCCTGCCTCTCCTCCTGCCCTCCTCCTCCTCCTGCCCTCCTCACCTTCCCCCTCTCCTCCCTCCTGCCCCTCCACCTCCTTCTGCCCCCTCACCTCCTGCCTCTCCTCCTCCTGCCCTCTCACCCTTCCTGCCTCTCCTCCCTCCTGCCCTCCTCACCTCCTCCCCCTCCCCTCATCCCCCTCTCCTCCTGCCCTCCTCACCTCCTGCCCTCCTCCTCCCTCTCCTCCTCCTGCCCTCCTCCTCCTGCCCTCTCACCCTCCCTGCCTCGACCATCCTGCCCTCCTCCTCCTCACAGTAATCATACAGATTTACTGATATAAGATAATATTAAATAAATAACAAAGAGAGGAGAGAGAGAGAGAGAGAGAGAGGCCCCTAACCACAACAGTCATGACCAAAAACTAATAGATGACAGGAGATGCGCACCACAACTAAAAACACACACACACACACACACACACACATACAGAGTGAGTGTGTGTGTGTGTGTGTGTGTGTGAGTGAGAGTGTGAGGAGTGTGTGTGTGTGTGTGTGTACCTCCTCCTCCTCCTCCTCCTCTCACACCCTCGTTGATGGGACAAATTATACTCTCGAGAACAAGGGGCGCAGGAGGAGGGGTTAGGTTAGGTTAGGTTTTAATGTCCTTTTGAGAGAGAGAGAGAGAGAGAGAGACAAAGAGGGGAATCTCTTCTCTCTCTCTCCTCTTCTCTCCCTCCCTCCAAGAAGAACAAATAACTTACCATAACTTTTACCACCAATGTGAAGAACAATTTTAAGGCGAAACTTGAAGAACAAAAACTTTTGATTCTTATAAAGTTTAAAGATTTTTTTTAAGGTTTTAGGAATAATTTAAAGAGACCAAAAGTATTTAGGTTAGGATGTGGTTGGTGTGGTGGTTGTGGTTGTGGTGGTTGTGGTTGTGGTGGTGGTGGTTGTTGTGTGGTGGTGGTTTTGTGTGGTGGTTGTTGTGGTGGTGGTGGTTGTTGTGGTGGTGGTGGTGGTGGTGGTTGTTGTAGGTGGTGGTTGTTGTGGTGGTTGTTGTGGTGGTGGTGGTGGTGGTTGTTGTAGTGGTGGTGGTTGTTGTTTTGTGGTACACCCAGGACACACTGTAACACACACCCAGCACACTGATCACACACCAACACTAACACGACACACTGTAACACACAACACACACACACACACACACAGACACACTGTACAGGACACACTGTATACACACACCCAGGACACACTGTATACACACCCAGGACACACTGTATACACACACCCAGGACACACTGTATAACACACCCAGGACACACTGTATACACACACCCAGGACACACTGTATACACACCCAGGACACACTGTATACACACAGGACACACTGTATACACAAAACAACACACCAGGACACACTGTATACACACAGGACACACTTAACACCCAGGACACACTGTATACACACACCCAGGACACACTGTATACACACACCCAGGACACACTGTATACACACCCAGGACACACTGTACACACCCAGGACACACTGTATACACACCAATACACACACCCAGGACACACTGTATACACAACCCAGGACACACTGTATACACACCCAGGACACACTGTATACACACAAGACACACTGTATACACACCCAGACACACTGTATACACACCCAGGACACACTGTATACACACACCCAGGACACACTACACACAAGACACACTGCATACACCAGACACACTGTAACACACAGGACACTGTATACACACCCAGACACACTGTATACACACCCAGGACACACTGTATACACACCCAGGACACACTGTATACACACACCCAGGACACACTGTATACACACACCCAGACACACTGTATACACACACCCAGGACACACTGTATACACACACCAGGACACACTCACACCCAGGACACACTGTATAACACACCAGGACACTGTATACACACACGTAACACACAGGACACACTGTACACACACCCAGGACACACTGTATACACACCCAGGACACTGTATACACACCCAGGACACACTGTATACACACCCAGGACACACTGTACACACCCAGGACACACTGTACACACACCCAGGACACACTGTATACACACAGGACACACATCACACCCAGGACACACTGTATACACACACCCAGGACACACTGTATACACACAGGACACACTATAAACAGGACACACTGTATACACACACCCAGGACACACTGTATACACACCCAGGACACACTGTACACACACCCAGGACACACTGTATCACACACCCAGGACACACTGTATACACACACCCAGGACACACTGTATACACACACCCAGGACACACTGTATACACACACCCAGGACACACTGTATACACACCAGGACACACTGTATACACACCCAGGACACACTGTATACACACCCAGGACACACTGTATACACACCCAGGACACTGTATACACACACCCAGGACACACTGTACACACACCCCAGGACACACTGTACACACACACCCAGGACACACTGTATACACACACCCAGGACACACTGTATACACACACACCCAGGACACACTGTATACACACCCAGGACACACTGTATACACACACCCAGGACACACTGTATACACACCCAGACACACTGTATACACACACCCAGGACACACTGTATACACACACCCAGGACACACTGTATACACACACACCCAGGACACACTGTATACACCCCCAGGACACACTGTATACACACACCCAGGACACACTGTATACACACCCAGACACACTGTATACACACACCCAGGACATATACACACCCCAGGACACACTGTATACACACACCCAGGACACACTGTATACACACACCCAGACACTGTATACACACCCAGGACACACTGTATACAAACCAGGACACACTGTATACACACACCAGGACACACTGTATACACACACCCAGGACACACTGTATACACCCCCAGGACACACTGTATACACACCCCCAGGACACAACACCAGGACACTGTATACACACCCCCAGGACACACTGTATACACACCCCCAGGACACACTGTATACACCCAGCAGCTGGACAGGATTAGGAATAGTGATATTGATAAACGACCCATTAAATCTGTGTGTTGTGTGTGTGTGTGTGTATATGTGTGTAAGTATGTATGTGTATGTGTGTGTGTATGTGTATGTGTATGTATGTGTGTGTGTGTGTATGTGTATGTATGTGTGTGTGTGTGTGTGTAAGTGTGTGTGTGTGTAACCTAACCCAAATCAGTATTCCAGACAGTGACAAGACGTGATCAAAACACTGAACAGAAGCTTGACATATTTATAAAAAAAGCTTTAATCAGTAGACACAGCTGTAGTGACAAAGCTTATTGGTGATACTTGAGTGGTTCATTGTTAGTAGTAGTAGTAGTAGTAGTGGTAGTAGTAGTGGTAGTAGTAGTGGTAGTAGTGATAGTAGTAGTTGGAACCACCATTACTACCACCACCATCACCGTAGAGGGCGGGGTTGGTGAGGGCGGGGTGGTGAGGGTAGGGTGGTGAGGGCGGGCTTGGTGAGGGCGGGGTTGGTGAGGGCGGGGTTGGTGAGGGCGGGTTGGTGAGGGCGGGTTGATGAGGGCGGTGGTGAGGGCGGGGTCGGTGGAGGCGGGGTTGGTGAGGGCGGGGTTGGTGGAGGGCGGGTTGGTGAGGGCGGGTTATGAGGGCGGGGTTGATGAGGGCGGGGTGTGAGGGCGGGGTCGGTGAAGGCGGGGTTGGTGAGGGCGGGTCGCTGAGGGCGGGGTTGGTGAGGGCGGGGTTGATGAGGGCGGGGTTGATGGGGGCGGGTTGGTGAGGCGGGTTGATGAGGCGGGGTTGATGAGGGCGGGGTTGATGAGGGCGGGTCGGTGGAGGGCGGGGTCGGTGAGGCAATGGGAGGAGGGTTGGTGAGGGCGGGGTTGGTGAGGGCGGGTTGATGAGGGCGGGGTTGATGAAGGGGTTGGTGAGGGCGGGGTCTGGTGAGGGCGGGGTTGGTGAGGGCGGGCTGGTGGAGGGCGGGTTGGTGAGGGCGGGGTCGGTGAGGGCGGTTGGTGAGGCGGGGTTGATGAGGGCGGGTTGGTGAGGGCGGGGTTGGTGAGGGCGGGTCGGTGAGGGCGGGGTTGGTGAGGCGGGTTGGTGAGGGCGGGGTTGGTGGAGGGCGGGGTTGATGAGGGCGGGGTTGGTGAGGGCGAGCAGGAGGGCGGGTTGGTGAGGGCGGGGTTGATGAGGGCGGGGTTGGTGAGGGCGGGGTTGGTGAGGGCGGGGTTGATGAGGCGGGGTTGATGAGGGCGGGTTGGTGAGGGCGGTTGGTGAGGGCGGGGCGAGGAGGGCGGGGTTGATGAGGGCGGGTTGGTGGAGGGGGGGTCGGTGAGGGCGGGGTTGATGAGGGCGGGTTGGTGAGGCGGGTTGGTGAGGGCGGGGTTGGTGAGGGCGGGGTTGGTGAGGGCGGGGTTGATGAGGGCGGGGTTGGTGAGGGGGGGTCGGTGAGGGCGGGGTTGAGTGAGGGCGGGGTTGGTGAGGGCGGGGTGGTGAGGGCGGGGTTGGTGGAGGGCGGGGTTGGTGAGGGCGGGGTTGATGAGGCGGGGTTGGTGAGGGCGGGGTTGGTGGAGGGCGGGGTTGGTGAGGGCGGGGTTGATGAGGCGGGGTTGGTGAGGGGGGGGTCGGTGAGGGCGGGGTTGATGGGGGCGGGGTTGGTGAGGGCGGGGTTGGTGAGGCGGGTTGGTGAGGGCGGGGTTGGTGAGGGCGGGCTCATGAGGGCGAGCAGTGAGGGCGGGGTTGATGAGGGCGGGGTTGATGAGGGCGGGGTTGGTGAGGGCGGGGTCGGTGAGGGCGGGGTTGGTGAGGGCGGGGTTGGTGAGGGCGGGGTTGATGAGGGCGGGGTTGATGAGGGCGGGGTTGATGAGGCGGGGTCGGTGAGGCGGGTTGGTGAGGGCGGGGTTGATGAGGGCGGTTGATGAGGGCGGGGTTGATGAGGGCGGGGCTGGTGAGGGCGGTTGGTGAGGGCGATGCAGAGGGCGGGGTTGGTGAGGGCGGGGTTGGTGAGGGCGGGGTGATGAGGGCGGGAGCAGGGAGGGCGGGTTGGTGAGGGCGGGGTTGGTGAGGGCGGGGTTGATGAGGGCGGGGTTGGTGGAGGGGGGCTGGTGGAGGGCGGGGTTGATGAGGGCGGGTTGGTGAGGGCGGGGAAGGATGAGGCGGGGTTGGTGAGGGCGGGCTGATGAGGGCGGGGTTGATGAGGGCGGGGTTGGTGAGGGCGGGGTTGGTGAGGCGGGATGGTGAAGGCGGGGTTGATGAGGGCGGGTGATGAGGGCGGGGCTGATGAGGGCGGGGTTGATGAGGGCGGGTTGGTGAGGGCGGGGTTGGTGAGGGCGGGGTCGCAGGGAGGCGGGGTCGGTGAGGGCGGGTCGGTGAGGGCGGGGTTGGTGAGGGCGGGGTTGGTGAGGGCGGGGTTGGTGAGGGCGGGTCGGTGAGGGCGGGGTTGGTGAAGGCGGTTGGTGAGGGCGGGGTCGGTGAGGGCGGGGTTGGTGAGGGCGGGGTCGGTGGAGGGCGGTTGGTGAAGGCGGGTTGGTGAGGGCGGTTGGTGGGAGGGCGGGGTTGGTGGAGGGCGGGGTCGGTGAGGGCGGGGTCGGTGAGAGGCAGGAGAGTGAACATATGTGTGATAATGTTCTCACAGAGTCAATATATTCAATCCACACAATTTATCGATTTCAAAGCCTTCTCGCCTCTCCCTACCACACCCACACACCCCTCCACACCCACACCCCACACCCACACCCCCCCACATCGTAATAGACTTGGGTGTTAATCCGATTTCATTAACTTAGCGAGTCAGATCCTTAATATATTAGGATCAAATCACTTATCCCCGAGCCCTTTGTTATCTACTGGGAGGGGTGACAAGACAGTGCTATACCATGAGGGGTTACCGTAAGGGCTATTATCTGACGTGTTATGGCTCCTAAGGGGTGACAAGACAGTGCTATACCATGAGGGTTACCGTAAGGGCTATTATCTGACGTGTTAAGGGGGTCTGATATTTGTCCCAATTGTGTGTGTGTGTGTGTGTGTGTGTGTGTGTGTGTGTGTGTGTGTGTGTGGATAGACAGGAGCAGCAGCTAGAGACAGACATATATTTAGACAGACAGACAGACAGAGGCTTGTAATGGAAAAACGAACACTGCTAGACCTGACCTGACCTGACCTGACCCAGCCTAACCTAACCTAACTTAATTCCAGAAAAAAAAATTTGAGTATAATTCTCTGTAAGTAAATTCCAAGTAAATTTATGTATTATTTGTAAGTAATTCTCATAACTATAGGTTACTTATACTTAGGACCTCACCTCTGCCTACTAACACCATCTGCCCACCCCACCCACACCATCGCCCACCACCACCCACCCACCCCCGTCCACCACTACCCCCCACCCACCTCCCTGTCCACCACCACCCCACCCACCCCCCGTCCACCACCACCCGCCCACCCACCTCCCTGTCCACCACTACCCACCCACCCACCTCCCCGTCCACCACTACCTCCCACCCACCTCCGTCCACCACCATCGCCACCCACTCACCCACCCTCGTCCACTACCTGCCCACCCACCTCCCTGTCCACCACTCCCCCACCCACCTCCCGTCCACCACCACCGCCCACCACCTCTGTCCACCCACCTCCTCCACCACTACCGCCCACCCACCTTCCACCACTACCGCCCACACCCCGTCCGCCCTCTGTGACGGCCGGGGCGGTATTAAAGTATCGTGTGGTAATGTCGGCCACCTGTGTCGGTTTGGCTGCTGATGCTCACTTGTCTGTCGACTCGAGCATCATGGGTAATTATTTAAACATATGGCGCCAAAAGCTGCTGCCTGGGCGCCTTCCTCCTATATTATAAGGACGACTATTGTGGGTTAATAACTACGGCTCTTCAATCTTAATGGGGTATGTTGAATAGCACTGTGTTGATCTCATAGACCTATGTCTCTCTCTTAGTGCCACAAGGGTGAGTTTTACGGGTTATTGAAGGAGTTTATCAGCCACACTAGAGGGTGTTGGTTAGCACTGTGTTGTTTTCAAGAGGATGAATCCAGCGACAGGGTTTGTATTTAGTGGACTAACAGGAGGAGATCGACCTACCGCAGCGTGTGTGTGTGTGTGTGTGTACGTCAACAACAGTGTGTCAATGTGTGTATAATGAAAACACAATAACATGTGTACACGTATAAACATGTGTACACACAGTATTGACAAAGGAGTGTTAGTTACAAGACTAGCGAGGTCATCTTAAAACTATAACGAGTGCTTGTTAGACCTCACTTGGATTACGCAGTTCAGTTCTGGTCACCGTATTATACACACACAAGCACAACTAACACGTTCAAACACACACACAGACAAGCACAACTAACACGTACAAACACACACACACTCCACCTGACAAAAACAATAATATCAACAACATGAAGGTATGAGTGGTACCCTCATTATAAGAGGAGGCGGAGGAAGGAGGAACGAAAGCAGAGGAAAGGGACCTTCCTCTTCTATCATCGCCTCCCCCCCCCTCCATCATCACCACCTCACCCCTCCCTCACCTACACCCTCCTTCCTCCTGGTGTCACGATACTTTGACTGACAGATATATAGAACCGACGTCAACCACACCTGGTGAAGTTTACCTGTCAGTAGCAGACGCAGAATGCATCAGAACTGAATGCCTCATAGATCTGCGGCTCAATACAGCTGGGATAGGTACTGATGTGTTAGGATATTGAATATTAAGGTACTAAAATGGTGGCGAAGGTGTGGCTACTGGGGGAGGCTGGAGGCCACGTAGTGCAAACAACAATGAATTTATGTATTAGGATATTTAATATTAAGGTAAATAAATGGTGCGAAGGTGTGGCTATTGGGGAGGCTGGAGGCCACGTTAAAAAAAAAAAAAAAAAGTAGTAGTAGTAGTAGTAGTAGTAGTAGTAGTGGTGTGGTGGTGGTGGTAGGGCGTATGCATTGGTGCAGTGGACCCGGACTCACGTGGCGCTCTGTTGACACAACTTAGCTGCTATGTTGATGTTATACTCGCCAGCCTTTTACCACAAGGGCAGTTCTTCTTCAGAGCACCATATGTGCCAGTATCAGAAGGGTCCTGACATTCCATGCAGCGACCATAAGAGGTTGTATAGTTTGTTTTGTTTGGATCTGTGATTATGATTGTGTTTTCAACTACAGAAGGATGACCATTAAGCGGTTGCCCAGTCAGGTTGGTTCTTTAGGTAGACTAGGTTTAGGCACCATTTCTAGCCCCTCCCCAGTGTGGGGTGAGCAGAGTGCCTCGAAAGGGCTGCTCAATCACACAGACAAGACTGGATTGCACTGCTGCCCAGGTCCCAGTGCATAAACGACCATCTTATCTGTGTGCGCCCATGTGCAGAGTTGTGACTAGAGACCCGGCAGTCATCTCTGCCTGTCCCCGTCGTCACCGTCCGTCGCCACAGGACTTTGGGGGTATAGGGTTTTGATGATGATGATGATGAGAGGTATGATGAGCTGGGTGATGGCTGTGTGTGAGTTATGTGGTGAGGCAGGAGCGAAGGCTGCAAACCAACACATCTTGGCTCTCCCTTTTCCTGATGCAGTGGTGCAAGTGTTGCAACGACTGGGGAGAGGGAGAGTTGCAATGGACTGCCGATAGACCAGTTTGTTGGGTTTCGCCTTAGTAGCCTGTCCATCAACAGTTTCATCGGCTGGTGTAGTCGTTGGGTTCCTATGGTGGTCACCTTCCGCCACACCGCCGCTGGGGTCTTGTTGGAGCTCTGTTAAGCATGTCTGCCTGATGCGGGCTCCATCACAGACTTTTCGTTCAGGGTTTACCCCGTAGCCTTTATACCTCCCAAGGTTAATCCTGCAAGGCAGCGGGGCAGTGGTTGGTAGGCGCCAGGACGTGTCCACATGCCAGTGGGCCTATGCGCCGTCCCTCTGGGGCCCACTGCTACTCCGAGATCCGCTGCTGGTCTAGCCTGGGCCCACGAGGCACCTAGTTACCGTGTGTTGCCACGAGGAGGCACAGCAGGAGTCTTGATGGTGAAGAGGCTGTGTACTGGGGGGGGAAGACTTATGTAAGTTGCTTCTCTGTTCACCACGAGGGCTAGCTAGCGGCGGCAGCTGAATGCAAGAGGAAGCAAACAGTGCTTGCACCTTAACACTAACATAATACTGCCACACTAGATGCATTACACCACCCTGTACACACACACACACACCTACTGGGTTAATGTGTTTCTTTCATCATGTTTTATGGCCGTCAGTGGTAAACCCATCACCTTCTCCTTTCCCTCTTCCTCTTCTCCTCTCGCCCTGACACACACACACTACCACCAGCAGTTGACATAAACATGAGTGACAAGAGTGCCTAAGAAATGCTCCTTACGTGCTCATACATTCTCCCTTCCCTTACTGGTTGGGGGGAGGGGTAGCAGAGGAGGGGATAGGGGGGAGGAGGGGAAAGGAGGGGAAGGGGAAGGATTTGTTCATAGGATTACTGAAGTATCACGTTATGCCAGGAGGGTAGGGCGATACTTACTCACAGAACACTGCCTTAGGTGTGTGTGTGTGTGTGTGTGTGTGTGAGAGAGCGTGTGGGTGTGTGTGTGTGTGTGTGTGTGTGTGTGTGTGCGTGTGTGTACAGCAGGTATAGGGAGGCGGTACACATTCCTCCACACCACAAATATCTTCACTACACCAAGAAGGGAAATTGCAGGCAGAGAGACGCAACAGTGTCTCAAACCTAACTTAACCTAACCCAACTAAACCTAACAACCCAACCAAACCTAACCAAAACCAAAACCAAACCAAACCTAACCAAACCAAACCTAACCAACGTGAAAGGAAAAATAAAACAGAGAACCAAACAAGTATCATACTCTGAGTGATCAATAAACACTCATGACTCCTGTTGTTCAGGTCTGTTGTTGTCAAATCCTTCACCTATTGGAGTCATATCGTATCAACACAAGTTTACATAGATTTGTATTGTTGAGATTGTTTGTATAGTTGATGTGTTTGTATAGGTTTAGATAGATTGTTTGTATAGGTTTACATAGATTGTTTGTATAGATTATTAAGTGAGGGCCTGTATGACTACTGACCAAAGTGTTGACCCAGTTCACGAATTGCCTTCAAATTTATTCACATAACAATCTATCCGGTGGTTTATCAGGTAATTTATCCGGTGATTTATCAAGTAATTTATCCGGTGATTTACCCAAGAGATCACCTTCAACATTTCCAGGTCAGGTCAGGTCAGGTTAGGTCAGGTCAGGTTAGCTTAGGTTAGGTTAGGTCAGGTTAGGTCAGGTCAGGTCAGGTCAGGTTTTGGTGTTGATTTACACTTCATCCTAGAGCGGTAGGTGGTAAGGGGTAGTGGTAAGGGGTAGGTGGTAAGGTGGGTGGGCGGTAGTGGGGTAGGTGGTAAGGGGTAGGTGGTAAGGTAAGGGTAAGGGGGTAGGGGTGGTAGGTGGTAAGGGGTAGGTGGTAAGGGGTAGGTGGGTAGGTAAGGGCAGGTAAGGGGTAGGTGGTAAGGGGTAGGTGGTAAGGGGTAGGTGGTAAGGGGTAGGTGGTAAGGGGTAGGTGTGGGCGGGGAAGTGGTAAGGGCAGGTAAGGGCAGGTGGTAAGGGGTAGGTGTGGTAAGGGGCAGGGGTGGTATGTGGGCAAGAAGGGGTAGGGTAGGCGGGGCAGGAGTAAGGGGAAGGTGGGGTAGGTGGTAAGGGCAGGTGGTAAGGGTAGGTGGTAAGGGGGCAGGTGGTAAGGGTAGGTGGTAAGGGGTAGGGTGGTAGGCAGGTGGTAAGGGTAAGGTGGTAAGGGGTAAGGACAGGTGGTAAGTAGGTAGGTGGTAAGGGGGTAGTAAGGGGCAGGCAGCGTGGTGGCTGGGCGAAGGGGGGATTTTTTCTCAAAGGTGGTTCGGGGATCTGTCTGTCTGTCTGTCTGTCTGTTCGTCGTTTTTCTGTTCGCACACACACACACACACACACACACACACACACACACACACACACACACACACACACACACACACACACACACACACACACACCTGCCCAAGAATATTTGAGTGAGCGTCACGAGTCAGAGGCGAAGTATGACAGCCAACCGACCTGAGAGGTGACAGCATGCTGAAGAGACACACTGTCACCACCTAACGATGGCCAGGGAGGAGAGGGTGACAGGAAGAGAGGCTGAGAGAGAGGAGGAGAGGTACAAGAGAGGGGAAGGAGGAGAGGACAGGGGAGGAGAGAAAAACAAAAACAAAAAGAGGAAGGGGGGACAGGGGAGGGAGAGGGGAGAGAGGGAGGAGAGGGGGACAGGGGAGGAGAGGGGGGACAGGGGAGGGAGAGGGGTGTGGGGACAGGGAGGAGAGGGTGGGACAGGGAGGAGAGGGGTGGGGGACAGGGAGGAGAGGGGAGAGAGGGAGGGAGAGGGGGACAGGGAGGAGAGGGGAGAGAGGGAGGAGAGGGGTGGGACAGGGAGGGAGAGGGGGTGACAGGGAGGAGAGGGTGTGACAGGAGGAGAGGGTGGGACAGGGAGGAGAGGGTGAGAGAGGGGAGGAGGGTGGTGACAGGGAGAGGAGAGGGAGAGGGGAGTGACAGGGAGGAGAGGGTGTGACAGGGAGGAGAGAGGTGGACAGGGAGGAGAGGGTGGACAGGGAGGAGAGGGTGAGAGAGGAGGAGGTGGACAGGGAGGAGAGGGGTGAGACAGGAGGAGAGGGTGGGACAGGGAGGAGAGGGTGTGGAGCAGGGAGGAGAGGGGTGAGAGAGGGGAGGAGAGGGGTGACAGGGAGGAGGGGACAGGGTGGGAGGAGGGGGACAGGGAGGAGAGGTGGGAGGGGAGGAGGGGAGAGGAAGGGAGGAGAGGGGGGGGAGAGGGGAGAGAGGGGAGGGAGGGGTGGGACAGGGGAGGGGAGAGGGTGGGAGCAGGGAGGAGAGGGAGAGGGGACAGGGGAGGAGAGGGGGACAGGGGAGGAGAGGGGAGAGGACAGGGAGGGGAGAGGGGGACAGAGGAGAGGGGTGGGACAGGGGAGGAGAGGGGGACAGGGAGGAGAGGGTGGAGAGAGAGGAGGAGAGGGAGGAGAGGGAGGAGAGGTGGGAGAGAGGGAGGGGAGGTGAGAGGGGAGAGGGGTGGGGTGGAGAGGAGGGAGAGAGGGGGAGAGAGGGAGGAGAGGTGTGACAGGGAGGAGAGGTGAGGATAGGGAGGAGGGAGGGGAGGGTGAGCAGCAGAGAGGAGGGTGAGGGAGGAGGGGTGAGGAGGGAGAGGGGGACAGGGGAGGGAGAGGGTGATAGGGGGAGAGGGTATAGGAGGAGAGGGTGGGAAGGAGAGGGTGAGAGAGGGGAGGGAGAGACAGGGAGGAGAGGGAAGACAGGGAGGAGATAGAGAGGGTGAGAGGTGGACAGGGAGGAGAGGGGTGGGGAGGGAGGAGAGGGAGAGGGAGGAGAGGTGAGAGAGGAGGAGAGGGTGACAGGGAGGAGAGGGTGTAGGGAGGGGGGAGAGGGGAGGAGGAGAGGGGAGGAGGGGAGAGAGGGAGGGAGGGGGGACAGGGAGGGGAGAGGGGGACGGGAGGAGAGGGGTAGAGAGGGAGGAGAGGGGGACAGGGAGGAGAGGGTGAGAGAGGGAGGAGAGGGGTGGGGACAGGGAGGAGGGGGTACAGGGAGGAGAGGAGAGAGGGGAGAGGGTAGAGGAGAGGAGGAGAGGGGAGGGAGGAGAGGGTGGGGAGGAGAGGGGGTGAGAGAGGAGGAGGTGAGAGGGAGGAGAGGGACAGGGAGGAGAGGGTGTGAGGAGAAGGGAGGAGAGGGTGACAGGGAGTGAGAAAGGGAGGAGAGGGTGACAGGGAGGAGAGGGTGACAGGGAGGAGAGAGGTGGAGAGGGAGGGAGAGGGGAGAGGGAGGAGGAGGGGGGAGGAGGGGGAGAGGGGGACAGGGAGGAGAGGGGGGACAGGGAGAGAGGGTAGAGAGGGAGAGGGGTGGACAGGGAGGGTGACAGGGAGGGAGGAGGGGGAGAGGGAGGAGAGGGGGAGAGAGGGGTGAGAGGGTGGGGAGGAGAGGGGTGAGGGGGAGGGGTAGGACAGGGAGAGGGTGGAGGGGAGGAGAGGGTGGACAGGGGAGGAGAGGG